ACCTTTGATGGTTGCTTAGACCCTATGGTATTTATTCAATGGGTTATAGATATGGATCGTTTTTTTGCCTAGTATGGGGTCCTAGAAGTCCGGAGAGTTCAATTTGCTAGTTTGAAATTAACTGCCACCGCTCAACTCTTTTGTGAAAGTGTTGAGGAGCTCTTAAAGAGACGTCGTGCTCCTCCTGTTGGAAGTTGGGATGTAATGAAGCGTTGACTTCAAGAAAAGTATTTACCTCAATTGTATAGGGGTAATTTGTTGGATCAATGGAAAGCTCTTACGCAAGGCAATAGACCAGTAACTGAGTACGTCACTCAGTTTAATGAATTCCAAATGAGATGTCAAGTCGTTGATGATGAAGCCATGAGTTTAAATAGGTTTCGACAAGGCCTCAGAGATGATCTTAAACGTGAGCTTGTCCTTTAGGGCGTTACTACTCTTGACCATGCTTATCCCTTCGTCCGAGATTATGAGTTAGTTACTAGGATTCCATATAGAAATCGTGGNCAGTGACTGAGTACGTCACTCAGTTTGATGAATTTAGAATGAGATGTCAGGTTGTTGAGGATGAAGCCATGACCTTAAGCAGGTTTCGATAAGGCCTCAGAGATGATCTTAAACGTGAGCTTGTCCTTCGAGGTGTTACTACTCTTGATCATGCTTATTATTTCGTGGTGACAACCCGTCCCCATCTCTTCAGTGTCGCTCTCTTCTTCCCCTAAGTTTATCCTAGGGCCTCCCACATCTAAGGTTCCTCTTGTAGAGGAAAATAAAGGTAAAAGTCATAAAGTTCCAATGACGTTCTCCCGCTTGCAATACCAAAGAATGTGACACGATGAAGTCTTCCTTGGAGGCATGGTCATAGACTAGTGAGAAGATGGTATTGTAGGATATCTTGCCTAAATATATGAAATTTGAGATTCCACCAAGCAATTAATATTTTTTTAGACTATAATCTCATTTTAAGCTTAGCATTAATGTGCATGGATGTTCGAGACACACTTCAACTAGTAGAAAACAAGCCACATAGGAGACGTCATGCTACCTAATTTCATTTATTCTATGTACTTTTCTCAATACCGCCATACTGCTATACCTATCAGATATTATCCACTCTATCATCACACCTTATCAGGCAGGTTTTCTTATATATTCTGTTTTAAATGGTTAGAATTACACTCAATCGTGATGGCTGAAATTTTATTTTTTTGTTACTTTCAGAGTCTACAGTCATATAGGTTGCAGCCATGAAGCAATTTCACTTTCATAAAACTTTAGTTTTCCTCTCGATATGGTTGAACGTAGTCAAATTTATTGGTTAGTTATTCACATTTCTTCTCCCATATCTGGGAAAAAAAATACACTGGCTTCTAATATATTGGCAACCAAAATAAGGGAATTGTGGGAAAATAGAGCAGAAGGCATACAATACCAAGAAAGTGTGCTATGAGCACACGCCAATATTATCTGTATAGGGTTGGAAGCAAGTTCTTGATTCACCTGACAAAAAATGACATAAATATCTTAATAAGGGAGCAAAATCCTATGAAAAGAACTCTTATTCAGAGATTTAAATAGAAGATTAAGTTAAAAACACATCGTTGTTTCATGAGCATGATAGATTTTGTGTTCAAGAATATTGATGAAAAGTAATGCCTACCATATGAAGATCTTTAACGTAACAGACTAAGAGAAAACAGAAAAGAAGGAAATAAATACAAAAAAATATGAAATTTGGCAAAACAATTAACTGTTATATATGAAAATAATGTAGATGCATGTGATCCCAAAAACCTAAATCAAATACACTGCAAGACCTGATGTATCAAGTTATCTTATACAATTGGTGGTGTACCAAAACTGTTTTCTACGTCAATAAAAGTGGGAGTTCCACCAGCCATCAAGACCAAAAAAAAAATAATATGGCATCAAAGATATATTTAAGTAAAATGTACCATGCCTTTATACATAAAGCTTGATCATCAATTTGTTTAACCCAAAGACTGTTTAACCAGTCCTCTTTAAATAGGATTTTAAAATGTCATCACCCAGGGGATTATAATGAGACTAGAAAGCAAGCGTAAACATTTCTCCATTAGCCCGTAGCAATGAGGTGCTTTATGATTTGTGGTGTCAAATTTCAAGGTCTTAGTTATTAGTGTATGCCATATTAGAAATTAATTATGTACGTGATAAAAGTTCCTGGGAAAACAAAACTAGAACTCGGTTCATGGAACCACATTCCTTCGTGCAAGAGATTTGGAGGGATAGAAATAGACATGGATTTCATGTTGTCGAGGGAGCTGTGGTCATTATGGAAGTAAACAGTTTTTCTTTGCTCCATGATATTTTGGACACAAAATTTCATCCCTGAATGTATTAAATCTTGGGTTTTCTGGATCATGTAGATAGGATTTGAGAAAGCTTTGTTTAAAAATCTACTTTTGCACCTATCTTTACTATAATAAAACTCTAATGCATCAGAAAAAATAAAAATAGCATCATCCAATTGGCTTAAAAAAGAAACTTTAACGAAACTTAATCCACCTGAAGTTTAGGTTATTCGTGTCAATTCAATAATGAAATACACAATTTTCTTGAGCTTCTCGCTGAATTTAAATGTTCAATCGCTGAATTTAAATGTTCAAGAATGAACTTTCGCTTGCAACAAAGTTGCAGCACCTCGACATAGAATGCATGGCTTCAATAAGGAATATGACTTCTGCGTGTTTCTTAAATTTACAAGGCTGTAATCACAATAGATGGGATGGAAGATCTCACTAATGCAAACATGTTACTTAAGTATCCGAAATTACATATGAACAAGAAGACTCTGTGTTTCTTTCTTTTCTTTGCCAACTAGTAGGGTGACAGGTTCTAAATAGTAAATTCTCATCCTAACAAGTTAGACAATACTTTAGAAGAGCAAAAATTCAAGAGTAAAAAAGGAGATATTTTTAATAGCACGACAATTATAAGACATTATTAAATTTCTCCGCCCCAATAGCAGCAGAATGACTGATTGATTGTGGAACTAAAAACTTAAGGATAGAGATATCAGAAATAACGAACTTAACCATCAATGCAGGTTGATAGGAAGTCCTACTAGTAATATGTTGATTTGTATTGATTTAGGAGGCAAACAGGTGAACATGTGTTGATTTTGACTGTTTGGGATTAATATTGATCAAATTGAGTAGATTTTGTAAGGTTGGCGTCAATTTGACTAAATTAGTGTTGTTTCTAGTAAGGATATTTAAGATATTTACAAAACAACAAGGCCTTTTAAACAAAGAATAAAAATGTAAGGCTATTTTGCATTTTGCACATTGAAAGAAGTCCATTTTAAAATTCCTCAAATATCCAATATCCAGTTAAGTGTACAAAAACAAGACCAAAAAACACTGGCAGTCAACGCAACTTTGTGTAGTATGATAATTGAATACAATGTCTATTAACCAACTCTAGGAAGACCCACACGTCCCTTAATAGCATATCAAAAATAAATAGATGAAACATAAGATCACATTTAGAAGTTGTAAACTGGTGGTGGGTAGATCTGCTATAGCTTTGAAAATTCAAGCAGTTGACAATCGCTGAATAAAGTTCATGGATTACTTGTAGCTTATCCATCCATGGTTTCATTTCTGGAAATTAT